GAAAAGTCACTCGTGAATGAGTCCCCCTAGCTCCTTAGTTAGGTCACATTTGTAATTACTTTTGGTTGCTTTACTGTTGATTATACTGCGGAAGATCCGACAGTAGCTTGGAATCTCTTAAGCTGACCAAGCCCTCTCGGTCAAACTACCAGACAGACAACTAGTCTTCACCGGGATAGAAAGCTGAGGCTATGAACAAAGAACTCCACTATTGGAACTGAATTCCAGTACAAAGCAGTAAATCGACTAACTCTTGTATAATCGATTCACTACTACCGATTGAAGAAGCTCTAACATCCTAATCAGATTCTATCTATCTCAGGTTGCAACAATAATCAATAAAAGATGATCAGGCTTCAATTGACTCAATCAAAACACTTCAATCGATTATAATCCAACAATATCACAATCCAAACGTTGTTACAACAATGATCCCTAACACATAGAACTAGGGTTCTTCATACCCAAGTGAGAGAGGGTTCTACTCCATAGAGAGAGAGAGAGGAAAACAGCAAACAAAGCAGTCATACTCATCAAGATTGGAAGAATCTGCTCTGGGATGATGATCTTCACTCCAAGGATGATTTCCAAGCTTGATTGATGAAACCCAGCTCCAAAACCACTCTTAGGGGGTGTTCTTAGCACTTTCTCTCTCAAGGGCTCTGTTTTTGCTCTAGAAAATCTAAATGGGTTAAAACCCAGAATTTCCCGATCACACGGCCATGTGGATTCCCAATTTTCCCGTGTGAGAGTGGAAATGCCGCATTTCAATTAAGTGGTCTTCATGCATACTGCACGGCCAAAGTTGCACGGCCGTGTGGATTTCCAGCCTGACCGTGTGAGCTCCCTGGAAATTCCACACGGCCACAAGGGGTCGAATACACGACCAGTGTGGCTTGGCCGCGCAATGGGATTCTACACGGCCACACCACACGGCCGTGTGGCTGCTAGGTATGGTCGTGTGGATTCCTCAGCTTCTCCCCAGACGTCCAACTTTCGTCCAATCGACCCGAAACTTGCTCCCAAACATCCAATCACGTACTAGGACCTGATATAACACAAACGAGAACAACCTAGCGTGAAATCGTCCTAAAATACGAGAAATGAGGCTCAAACGACATAAGAATGGTGGATAAAAACATGTGTGAAATTCCCCCACACTTAACCGTTTGCTTGTCCCCAAGCAAACCAAATCATATACAAGGTAAGCTCAAAACATCTCGATCATGCAACCCTTGGGGACATATCATATCGGCATAGAATACGTGAATCATACTGGCTTTTGATCATTAACACATGGACAACTTCAACCGCAACCTAGACAACCACCACAGAGGACTCGAGTGCAGCAAAATCGGGTAAAGGAAGAGTCTCCCTTCTGTTCACCAACCAAGATAGACTCGACTCAATCACTTAGCCAAGACAGTCACTTCATGCAAAAAACTGAAGATATCAAAATTAAGACCGAGCAATCTAGGTCCTCACCGGGGTAAAGAGTAAAGAGAATATGAGAAAATGAATCGCTCACTCTTGACCAGTGGGGTCAAGACACTTTGATGCGAAAAATGTGCATGCTTATTCTCTCAAATCCACAGTTTCAAACCCAACACATTCACAACCAATCAAACCAGTAACTTTCTTTCTGCCATTCTGCATTACTCAGATTCTCTAGAGCAAAAAAGCGAAGGAGGTCACATAAATGTTAGTATTTCCAAGCCAGACTGCTAAGAAACACTACTTAATGAGCATGATTCAGAATTTTGGGTAGTGGCTCTCTTTTGATTTCATTCATTTTTTTCCTTTTTTCTTCATTTTTTTCAATTCTTGAGAGAACCACCACCTCTGCACATTTTTCAAACACATGCCCAATTTTTAAGCATTACCTCCAACCCTCACATTAAATTTAGCAGAAACAACAAATAACATGCAAAAACCACTATGTGGAACCTTCTAAGAGATCCAAAAGGGTGATTTTCCATTGTAGACCGAAAGAAAGAAAAGCCCATGGCTCAAAGGGGCTGACTAGGGGGTATGACACACCAGGACAGTCAATTTGGTCGTGGGCTAATCCTATGCATCCATCATCTTAGCTAGTGACAACGTGAATGCTACACATCATGGAAGAGGGATCTATCGCACAAGAAAGAAACGAGCAGGGTCAAATCTCACATGGCTACCTATATGCTCTATCTTTCATTCTGGTTCCCTGAACTAGATGCATAAACGACTGTTAAGAGCAAGTGATCAATTCAAGTCACAATTGGTAAGCAAATAGTTGAAAAAAACTGATCCCCTACACAAACCTACTACACGTTTCAATCATCATCATAGGTTGTCCTAGTTACAATCAAGTTGTCATACATTAATTCGAAAGCCATTCGATTCACCAATCAAACCCACAGTGCCAATATGATCATGCAAACCTCAGTAACTGGAGCCCTCAAATCTCGAGATTTGGACATCGAACTAGGCTCCAAGCACGCATATATAGATTCCAACCAATACAAAGCACCCCCCCCCCCCACCCACACACACACACACACATAAGTTTGACATTGACCTCAATGGAGGCAGAGGAAAGGATAAGGGGAACAATGTTACCTGGTGAAGAAACTGTCGGGAGACTGGAAGTGGACCAGTCAGCGGGAAACAGATGGAACGACGGAACAATTCTGCACGAAGGGAACATAAAGAACACACTAGCACACTATGTGTTAGGGATCATAGTTAGCCTAGATGGCCACAAAAGAAAGAAAAAGAAAAAAGACACAAAAGACTTAGTTCAGGCTCCGCACACACAAGGAGCAAACACGAAAAGTCCAAAACAAAAACACACTCGGAGGGGCGACGAGTACAGACTACTCATTTCCAAGGTTGTCAAGGTCGATGTCGTCCATGAAGGCATCATCACCGGCTGGCGGGGGTGGAATTAGAGAGTCCTCCCAGGGAGTCCTCTCGAATGGCTGCTCGCCCGGTATCAGCTGGAGCAGGTGCTGCTGGACCTCCTGCATATGCCGAGACCAGCCCCGCTCCCTCTCGATGTGAGCAAGGGTCACCCCGTGCTGGGCCTCCTTGCGGTCGAGGTGCTCATCATATGCAGCCATCCGGGTATTATACTCGTCCTGGTGAGTCGAGTACTGCTGCTGGAACTGAAGATGATGGTCGAGGAGTTTCTGATTCTGGAGACTCAGCTGCTGGAACTGGTGAGTGTTGTAGTCCTGGGATGGAAAAGTAGAACTGCCACCCCCGTACTCAAAGGTGGTCTGGTGGGGGCATCAGCAGCGTCCATATCATCGGGGTGGACATCCTCAGTGGCCTCATCCTAAGGAACATCGGGCTGATCCTCCGCAGGGAGTGGTGGGATAGGAAACCCCGTGATCCACTTGACGCCGCGCTCGACTCTCAGCAGGTGCATCTTCGAGATCGTGTCTTCGCCGAAGACACAAGTGTCCCCCCTGCTCTGTGCAACCCTGAAGGGGGATCTGGAAATAGGTGGACAGGCGGGTGATGAGGGGGGTGCAGTAGAGGGTGCCCAGTTGAACAACACTCTTGTCCAGAGTCCTTGCCACCACAGAACCCAGGTGGAGATGATGGTTCGCCGTGCGGATGAACTGGATGAAGTACATGGACCGCCTGGTGAGGGTGCTGGCACTATCCCCAGCTTGGGTGAAGGACTTCGCTAGCATGTGGTGGAGAATACGGTTATCGAGCCGCAGGGTGCTAGCCTTCGTCCCCCCTACATGGAAGGGAGGCTGACCAAGCTGAGCTAGGCGGGTGTACAACACCTTGAAATTAACACCCTCTGGATTAGTGAGCTAGGTGATGTAGTCCTCGTCAACGTCCAGGCCGAGATCGAGACCGACCGCTAAATCGTGGTAGCTCATGGAATGGGGCTCACCGCCGAGCCTGAACTTGACGGCTTCGCCGTCCGCTCAGTCGGGTGTCTCTTCGTGCTGGAAGGTCGTATAGAACTCGAGCACCAGCTCGTGGAAGACCTTCTCGCGAATAGACAATAGACGGCGCCATGTGCGGTTGGTGGCAATGGCGAGGAAGTGGTTGTAGCAATGCAGCTTCTCAAACTCCCTCCTAGACCACTAGTGATGCTTCCCAAACTTGGAGTATAGGACGCGCTTAAAGCAATCCTTGTGGGGGCCCCTCTTCAAATCGCGGATGAACGAATGCTTGAGCTAGGGTTTCGACATGGTCCTGCAATAGAGCAAACCAAAGTGGAGCCAAAAGAGCCATAGAAAAGGTTAATCACATCGCCACACTTGATAACAGAAAACAATCGAACCATAGTTTCATCCATAGTTCGGGGGTCAATAACTCGAGCAAACAAGCACAATCTGGGTGGGGAGGTGCAAATCCATAATAAAGTATGCAACTTAAGGTTCACATCCATAGCAAATACACCATCAAAGCACATCATTAAGGGCCCCAACCAGCTCCCACCAAATGATATGAAAAACTGGCATTTCATCGAACACCTTGTGTGCACTTTTAAGTTAAGCATAGAATGGGAAAATTCCTAGCACACAAGGGCTCAATCAAGCATGGGAAACATTGCCCAACACAATCCACACATAATCCAAGCCTTCCCCTCAATCAATTGCGCACAATTCACACATTTCAAAGCGGTTCCCTAAAAATACACCCTAACACCCAATTCTCCACCAATTGCAAGGTAAAGGGAAAAATCAAACCTGGAGACACAAGTAGAGGTGTAGGGGATGATGAGGGGAAGGCAATGGAAGCGACGGAAGCACGAAAGTGCTCATCAGAGCGTCGCCGGAAATTGCCTCCGGCGACTCAAAAACAGTCCAAATCGTCTCAAAATCTAGGGATAGGCCAAAAATGGGGAGGGAAGGTTGGGTGTGGTGTTGGTTTAGTGAAAATCGACCAAAGATGGCAGGAAAACACCAAAAAGATGAAAGGGCGCGGTTTTCCAGGTAGGGGGAGAGGATTCTGGCGAGGGGTGATTGATTTTCTGGCCAACGCGGCTATGCAGGCTGAATTTATAGGCCGCAGGGTCGCGACACGGGCAGGCTACATGACCGTGTGGAGCGTGTTTCTGCCCGTGTGACGCCGAGAAATCCACACGGGCTGGCCGAGGTTTTCACACGGTCGTGTAGAGGCCCCTGCTGCCTGTGTGGAAATCACAGGGTCTTCACACGGCCAAAGGGCAATTCCACACGACCGTGTGGAATTTAAGCCTGGTCGTGTGGAAGTCCATAGCCCCGGATTTGACCTGTTTTTGCACAAAATCGACATTCGAACCTTGGACAACACCTCAAGACTAAAAAACACAAAAAATCAAAAATAAAAAGGAAAGGAAATGCAAACCTTGGTGGGGTTGCCTCCCCACAAGCGCTTCTTTACCGTCTTTTAGCTGGACGCCAGTAGAGGAACTAAGGGTCCTCGAGCTTGATCAGCAGCTTTGTGCGCTCGACAACACCTCCCAGGTACAACTTTAGGAGGTGGCCATTCACCTTGAATGACTTAGTTTGAGCATTGCTGATCTCCACGACACCGTGCGGAAAAACTTGGGTGACCATGAAGGGTCCCGAACACCTCGAACGTAGCTTTCCTGGGAAGAGTTTCAGGCGTGCATTGAAGAGAAGAACACGATCACCTACCTGAAACTCCTTTGGGCCCCTCAATTGAGTGTCGTAGAGACGCTTCGTTCGCTCTTTGTAGAGCATGGTGTTCCCGTAGGCGTGGTAACGCCATTACTCCAACTCCAACAGTTGCAGCTTACGTTCACTACCTGCAACACTCAAATCCAGGTTTAGCATCTTAAGGGTCCAGAAGGCCTTGTGCTCTAGCTCTACTGGAAAATGACACGCCTTACCATAGACAAGCCTATAGGGTGAAGTGCCAATCAGGTTTTTGTAGGCTGTCCTATACGCTCAAAGAGCATCATTGAGCTTGGTGGACAAATCCTTGCGGGACTGATCCACCGTCTTTTCAATTATTATTTTGAGCTTCCGGTTTATCAGCTCGGTTTGACCATTTGATTGGGAATGGTAAGCTACCGACACCTGATGATGGCGCGAGGAGCTTAGTGAATTGCCCTTGAAAATGGGTTCCTCTATCACTAATGATGGCGCGAGGTGTCTCGAACCGGGAGAACAGATGCTTTAGAATTGAGCAGACCCGTCTTGCATCAATAGGTGGGCATGGCTCGAGCTTCTGCCCACCTCGAGACGTATTCCACTACAACCTGTATGTACAAATTGCCAAAGGATGGAGGGAATGGGCCCATGAAATCGGTGCCCCAAACATAAAAATTTTCACAAATGACAGAAATATGTTGGGCATCTCATCCCGGGAAGAAAATGTTACCTGACCATTGGCAGCGGTCGCACTGTCGTGCGAAGGTGTCTGCATCCTTGAAGAGTGAGGGCCAATAGAAGCCCGACTATAGCACCTTCCGCGCCATGCGGTTTCCTCCATGGTGACCTCCAGTAGGTCCAACCGTGATAGATGATCTGCAGCAACATTCTCGCCTCCCTTCTTGTCCCGGATCTCTATATCAAATTCCTGCAGAAGCAGGATCCAGCAGATGAGCCTAGGCTTTGCATCAGCCTTGCTCATCAGATAGCGAATCGCCGAGTGATCTATGTAGATCACCACATCAGAGAGCACCAAATATGGTCGGAACTTATCAAATGCATACACCACAGCGAGAAGCTCCTTCTCAGTGGTGGTGTAATTCTCCTGTGCATCGACGCGTAATAGATGGGCTGGAAGTGCTTCTCGCGTCTCTGACCCAGGACTGCTCCGACTGCGTAGTCACCCGCATCGTACATAAACTCAAAGGGAAGAGACCAGTCAGGAATCACCATGATGGGTGCATGGGTAAGCTTCTCCTTCAATGTCTCGAATGCAGCTGTGCACTCAGGAGTGAACTGGAATGGTGCATCCTTCTCCAGCAGCTTGGTCAGAGGCAGGGCAATCTTCGAGAAGTCTTCAATGAAGCGCCAGTAGAAGCCTGCATGACCCAGAAAGCCTGCATGACCAGGAGGTAGCTTACTGGTCGTCTCACTCTTTGCGCGATCTACCTCAATCCCCTGTTTGGAGATCTTGTGCCCGAGCACAATCCCCTCACGAACCATAAAATGACACTTCTCCCAGCTGAGTGCAAGATTAGTCTCCTTGCACCTCTTCAGAACGAATTCCAGGGTATAGAGACAATGAGTGAAGGAGTCTCCATAAAGCGAGAAGTCATCCATGAAGACTTCAATTATCTCTCCGACCAGTTTGTCGATGATCGCCAACATGCATCTTTGGAAGGTCGCCGTTGCATTACACAGCCCGAATGGAATCCTCCGGTAAGCAAAGGTACTGAAGGGGCAAGTGAATGTGGTCTTTGCCTGATCCTCTGGTGCTATAGGGATCTGGAAATAACAAGACATGCCATCCAAAAAGCAATAAAACTCATGGCCATCCAACCTCTCCAACATATGATCAATGAAAGGTAGGGGAAAATGGTCTTTCCTGGTGGCGTCGTTTAGTCGCCGGTAATCGATGCTTACTCTCCAGCGAATCACGATCCGCATCGGGATCAGCTCGTTCTTCTCATTCGAGACCACAGTCATCCCGCCTTTCTTCGGGACCACCTGAGTGGGGCTGACCCACTTGCTCTTAGATATAGCAAAGATGATCCCTACATCCATTAGCTTCACAATCTCTGTCTGTACCACTGCCTCCAAGTTGGGAGACAATCTCCGTTGTGGCTGCCTGAATGGCTTAACCTCATCCTCCATCAGACTTCTGTGGGAGCAGAAGGATGGGCTAATGCCGCTGATATCTATTATCTTCCACGACATGGTCTGGGCATACTTCTGCAGTAGAGCCACCAGTTTGTTCTTCTGCTCTGGTGTCATATCCGAGCTGATAAAGACCGGGAGCTTATTCCCCTCCTAGAGTAATGCATACTCCAGGTGAGAGGGGAGGGGCTTAAGCTCCAGCTCTGGTGGCTCCTCCAATGATGTGGCAATCCGGGGCGAGATAAGGATCGGCTTGAATGGTTTCTCTCGCCCATCGATCGCGGCCTCGTCTAGCTCCACGAGCTGCTCCTCCAGCTGCTACTCCTATGATGCCTGTTCCCCTAGAAAAAGACAACGCTCGAGGAAATGGTCAGTACCCGCACTTGTGATGGCGAGTGCGGTCTCAAAAAACAGCAATAACATCACAGTAGTCTAGATCATCATGGAGATGGGGGTGTTTCATGTTATCAGAAACAGAGAAGGTGATTTGTTCACCCCCGGCTCGCAAAATATATTTCCCATCATTCACATCAATGAGCGCCTTTGCGGTGGCGAGAAAGGGTCTACCCAGTATTAAAAGCACATCCACATCCTCATTTATATCAAGAATCACACAATTAACAGGATATGAGAATGGCCCTACTGCGACTATCAAGTCCTCTGCAATGCCCCTAGGATGCACAATGGATCTATCAGCAAGTTGAATGCTCATCCTAGTATCACTGGGTTCACCTAGGCCTAGCTTTTTAAACAGTTTATATGGCATGACATTTATGCTAGCGTCTAAATCCGCCAAGGACTTCCCTATATGCAAACTACCAATCATGCAAGGGATAGTAAAACTCCATGGGTCTTTTCGCTTCTCTGGTAGTTTGTTTTGCAGGATGGCAGAACACTCCTCGTTGATCATCGCCGTTGATAGCTCCCCAAGCTTCCTCTTGTTGGTCAGGAGATCCTTCATGAACTTGGCATACTTTGGGATCTTCGATAATGCCTCCATGAAGGGCATGCTTATGTATACCTGCTTCAGCATTGCCGTGAACTTGGCAAACTCAGTCTCCGGTCGGTCATTGTGCAACCGAGTAGGAAAGGGAAGCTGTGGTACATACTCCTTCACCACGAGTTACGACTTAGGAGCAAGCACCTCAACCTCCTTCTTCATTTCCTCTTCATTAGTTGGAAGTGCTGAAATAAGGGTCTCTCTCTCTTGTGCCCGAACAGGTGGATCAGCAGTCATTTTCCCACTCCTGGTTCTAATGGCCTTCTAGTGCTCATTTGGGTCCTGCGGATGAGGGATGATCTAACCGGGTAAATTAAAAGGAGTCCTCTAGGCTACAACCTGCACCACACTCCCAAGCTGGGTCTGGATATCCCGAAGAAGAGCCTGCGTGTTTCTCTGTCCAGCTTCTAGCTCCAAGAATTTACCTGAAGCTTTCTCCATGAACTACTCGATATTATTGAACTTGTTTGCACTGGAGGTGGCCAGAGAACCCACCGTCTCGCAATTCCGCCATCGGATCACTCTATACTAGGGTTGCGGGGGCTGCCCTTGACTGATGAAATGGCCGCACCTGTGACTGAGGTGGAACTGGCCCCTGTCTGGCGGGTATGTGGGCCATTGCTTCAAGGAAATGAATGTTGAGGTGGAGCTTTCGGAGCATCTCCATGAAACCTCCGCATTTTGATGCTAATCTTTCCTCTTGCACCCTCGTGGGAAAAGGTAGGGGTGGCGTGTACTCAGCCACAGGTGGTGGCGTCGGTGATGCCTTCCTTGTCACTCCTCTATTTTCTCCCGATGTTTCCTCTTCTTCACCCTCGGGTAGAGGGTCTTCTTTCTCATTCACTTCTTCGGCAACGACCTGCGGAGTCACCTTCCCACTCCTCAAATGAATTGCATTCACCCTGGCATGATCCTTAGGGTTGGTAATGGTTTGAGAGGGTAGGAGTGTAGGACTCCCTTTGGTCTCTCGGTGAGGATCCCGACAAGTTTTCTAATTTGCACTTCCAAGTTTTGGAGACTTGCTTGATGGCTTTGGAGTCCCGCCTCAACCGAGGTAAACTTGAAGGTTTCCACATCCATGAATTGCTCAATATTCTTGAACTTCTGAGAGCTTATACTCACAAAGGAGGTCACAATATCTTCAAGTTTAGAGAACATGTCCACTTCTTATTGTTGTTGAAACCATTGACCGCATTGTGCTTGGTATGGTTGTTGGAAATTCGATTTTTGGAATTAAGGCCTTTATTGGATGAAGGTTGGCGGAGGTTGGTAGTTGCCTATTGGACCTTGGAAACCGGGAGGTCCAGGATTGGTAGGGGAAGACCAAGCAAAGTTTGGGTGGTTGCGCCACCCGGGGTTGTATGTGTTGCTATAAGGGCTAGTCCCTCTAGCATTGGCAATGAAACTCACTTGCTCCATGGGGGTACTTGTCTCCTTCGTTGCTTGGCAATCCACAATTTCATGATTAGTGCTTTAACACCAATCACAAGACATCACCTCTCTCTTCCTTTGCTTCTTGTCCTCAGGGATCACCTCGATCAACTTGTCAAGCTCCGTTTCAAGTGGAGCACTTGCTCCCACACTTCGCACTCCTCTTTTGGTGCTTCTCTTCCCACTTCTTGTCGAGCCCCAATCATATCCCTTGAGAGCCATATCTTCGAGCAACTCGGCCACTTGAAGAGGGGTCTTGTTCATCAACTTCCCTTGGCAAAGAGAGTCGATGAGGATCTTATCATCTTGAATGAGTCCTGCATAGAAAGTTTCTATCCGAAATTGCTCCTCGAATCCATGGTGAGGGCTTTGGAGGAAGTAGTTGGAGAATCTCTTCCATGCATCCCTCAATGTATCATCCTCCTCTTGCTCAAATTGAGTGATCTTCTTCCTCCACTCGGCCGTCTTGGAAGGAGGACGGTATCGGGTCATGAAATTCTTGAGTAGCCCGTCCCAAGAGGTGATGGATAGAGTCGGATGATTGTTGAGCCATCATAGTGCCTTCCCCGCCAAATAATAGGGGAAGAGCTTCAATTGCAATGCCTCGTCGGGGATGCCATTTATCTTCAAACAACCCGCTAGCTCAAGAAACCATTGGACATGC